TTGCTGTACAAGTATGAGGACCTGAGTTCAAATGCCCAGAACCCATACAAAACCTAGATATCGGAGCATATACCTGTAATCTCAGATATGATGAGACGGGAAGCAGACGGATGGGTCCCTGGAAGTTTCTAGGCAACTAGCCTACCCTACAGGCTAATGGTAGACCCTGTCTCAAAACCAGTTAAAGTAGAGGCTAGACAGATGGCTCAGTGTTTAAGATCACTTGCTCTTGAAGAGAACCTGTGATCAGTTCTCCGCAACGAAAAAACGATCTATAACTATAGTTTCAAAGGATCTTATGCCCTCTTCTGGCCTCCACAGGCACTGCATGCATGTGACACAAAAGGCAAAACACAACATACATATAAAAATAAGTCTTTTTTTTTTTTTTTTTTTTTTTTTTTAGTTAAAACTTCAGCTGGGTGTGGTGGTGCAAGCCTGCAATCCCAGCACTCAGAGAGGCAGAGGCAGGTGGACCTCTGTGAGTTCAAGGCCAGCCGGGTCTAAAAAGTGAGTCCAGGACAGCCAAGGTTACACAGAGAAACCCTGTCTCAAAAAAACCAAAAATCAAAAAGAAAAACTAAAATAAAGTAAAATTTTCATAATAAAAATTCCATGAGTAGATCTCACTGAATAAATTACACTAGCCACTTTTTTCAGCCAATTTTACATATCTGTACAGGCAATGATCACTTACCTGTCTGTGTCTCTAATCTCAAAACTTTCAGTAATCCATCTTCACCACCACATGCTATGAACCCTTGGTCCTTGTTCCAGGATATACATTTCAGCTTCACATTATTGGGAACAGCAATCTGTAACAAGAACCACGAAGCTTTTCACTAAGGAGTTGGAAGATCTCCATCCAGGAGATAGGAAACTGACAACATCTTCCAAGAACCCTACTCTAACTTGTGGCCCATGCTGACAGTCCCAACACTTGGGAGACTGAGGCAGGAGGATCTCAACTTGGAAGCTGGCCTGGGCTACACAGCAATAGCCTGTCTCAAAAATAAATAAATAAACATAAAACAAACAAACAAAAAGAAAAAAAAGCATGAAGGAGGGAGAAAGAAAAAGTAACACTCTGCAGAAAAATGAGCTATTATGAAAGTGGCGGAGGTCCCCTTAAATGTCCCAAGCTCTAGCATTCTCTAATGTAGTACACATAAAGGAAGGAAAGTGATTGCCAAGGAAGCCAGAGAGATTAAAAATCACCTCGTGGATTCTTTAAAATGAGGGGACTGAGATATAAATCCGTATCACTGCTCTTACTCCCTCTCCCCACACAACACTTAAGTTTCTTTCCTCTTGTAGGGCAGCCTGTGATCACTTATCAACACCTGGATCAACAAGTGGCCGAGGAAAGACCCAGCAGCGCTTAGGTCTGTCACTCAAAAGAGTCTAAGCTGGACAGGAATGTGGAAGGGTCCTGAGAAAAAGCTGCTGCCTCAATCAAGCACTGCCGGGGCTCAGAGACCCGCGGGAGGAGAGAGGCGACAGGGAGACTGGAAAAGCTGCTGGGACCGCCTCTGCAGCCCGGGAGGATGAGGGCACAGGCGGGCTGCAGGAACGGGGGAGGCGCGACGGCGGTCCCCGGGGAAACTCACTTTCTTGCTCAGGTAGAAGAACATCGTGGGAACTCAAAGAAGACGACCCGCAGCGGTCAAGGGCCGCAATATATAAACGGGTTCTACACCTCCATTCGCGAGCACCTTTGGATCAGAGAAGCTCCCGTCGCCTGGCAACCACCGCCGCCCAGGCGCATCCGGGGCGCCGAGAGAACTTCCGGTGTGGCCCTGGTCGTAGTGCGCCTGCGCGGGCGATGGGGCTGCTGTGGAATTGGTGTAGGTTAAAGCGGGTTTTTTGCTGCCATTGGTCCTGTACCCTTTGGCTCCTAGCCTTTCCGCTCTCGGTTAGCGACTGCCCGTGTGTGCCCCCAGCGCCCTCCCTTCATCCCCGCCGCTATGCTACATCGCCACGTCACACTGGGACAGGCGTGCTTCAGGTGTCAGTATGAGCTAAAGAATGGAACCCCTTTCAGAAAGGTCTCAAGAATTCTGTGTTGTATATCTAACCCCTCCACCTCACCCACCCACCCCCGACCAACATCCTTGAAAGGAACAGTCACTTGTTGCATTTGGTAGGCTGGCACCATCGAACAAATAGTAGTGCAGACGAGCTTTTAGAAGACTGCCTTCTTTGGGGGAACTGCAGAACCCTCTGAAGCAATTGGGAGTAGGTGCTATTTATTATTTTGCTTTGAAATCGGCCTTAGGCTTCCTATTGCTGTGACCAAACCCCGTGACCAAAAAGCAAGTTGGGGAGGAAAGGGTTTGTTTCGCTTACACTTCCACATTGCTGTTCGTCATCTAAGAAAGTCAACACAGGAACTCAAACAGGGCAGGAACCTGGGGGCAAGATCTGAGGCCATGGAAAGGTGCTGCTTACTGGCTTGCTGTCAGTGGCTTGCTCAGCCTGCTTTCTTACAGAACACAGTACCACCAGCCCAGGTGGTCCCTCCCTGGTCAATAACTAGTCGGATAACTCTAGTCTGTGTATCAAGCTGACATAAGACTAGGCAGCACGGAATCCTTAAAACATCGTAAGGATTACCTCAAGGGTCCTTATAAAAGAAGTATGCATGACCTTTGCTTCATTAAAGCTACAACTACATTTGGAGCAAACCCTCCCATTTAAAAATGTTTGGGCTGTTAGGATTTTTCTGTCCGGAGAACGGTTTTTCTATATTTTTCTTAATTTTTTTATGCATCTTCCCTCGTGACATGTGTGTATGTGTGTGTGTGGGAGCACATGTGGAGATCGCATCATGTGCCGTCTTCTGTAATTCTCCGTCTCATTTTCTGAGGCAGGATCTCTCAATCAACCTGGAACTTAGAATTTGGGCTGGCCCAGCCAGTAAACTGTAGGATGACTTGCTCCCCACTCCCAGCCCTGGGGTTACAGGTGCATCACGGGAAACCAGTCTTCTAGAGGTGGTGGGGATCCAAACTCTGGTCCTCATGTTTGCAACAAGTGTCTTATCCCCTATTGCTAAGCCATTCGGAGTCTTTCCCCACCCCAAGCATACAACCTTTGAATCCTTTGACCTCAGTCTATTGTCCCAGCACTCCTAGAAGAGTCCCCCGGGGTATTTTCGCTTTCAGTATGGAGGTTCCTCAAAAGGGAAACAAACAAACAAAGCAACAACAAAAATCTAGAGCTAGATCAGCCATATTATCCAGCCATGTCACTACTGGGTACATCCCCAAACAATCCAAGGCAACATACAATAGAAATGCCTGTACATCCATGTTTAACACAGCACCATTTACCATAGCCAAGTGGCACCGTCAGAACAGGTGTCCATCAATGGTTTAAAAGGTTGCATGTATACACACTGGATTGTCATTCGGCCATCAAGAAAGAGAAGATAATATCCCAGATGGAACTGGAAGTCATGTTAAGTAAATCAGAAAGACATGTGTTATGTTTTCTCTCATTTGTGGAACTGGAGGGCACAAAAAATAGGCAAGGTTTGGAAAAGAGGAAGAGAAGGGGCAGAAGGCAAGTATAAGTGTTTGGATAGGAAACAGAGGTGGATATGATTGAAGTACATTCATTATATGTATGTCTAAAAATGTCATAATGAGAGGCTGGTGAGGTGGCTTGGCAGGCAAAGGTACCCGCCTCCAAGCCTGATAACCAGGCTGGATCACTGGAACACTCATGGTGGAAGGAGAGAACCAGGTCCAAAAGCTTGTCCTCAGACTTCCACATGTGCAGTGTGGCCCTTGTGCACCCATATACCCATAAACTCGCACACACACACACACACACACACGTGTACACGCACATGCACATAATCATGCTCAAGCACAAATGTACCTAATTTTTTTCCACTGGTTTTATTTAGGATCTTCCTTTCCATTTATTCAAAACTGACTAACATTTTAAGCCTCAAGAGTGTGATATTAAATTATTGCAAGAGTGTCATCATTTTGTTCTTTCAGTTTCTCAACTGTTACATATTCAAGAATTATTAATTCAGTTTGACATAAACATGGTTAACAGAAGAAAATGACAAAAATCACCAAAAAGCAGTCATGACATTACTGTAGAAAGATAAGAACTTTTATTATATTAAAAACAATACAAATCAAAACAGATCAAGCAGCACAAAATTTGAAGAGTTGTTTCATTCCAAAACTTGTGAGCTGCATTTAAAAAGTATGTGTGTGTGGCATATTTCGAGTGAAAAAAAAAAAAACTAGGCTTATTACAGACATTTTTAAAAAGAAAATATAGCGTGTTGCTTGTTACACTGATTTTATAAATATGTAATTTTGCCAATTATATGATGAAACAAATGATAAAACTCAGAATTTTTCCTTGGCAAAAATCTTAGCACCTTAAGTTCACACTGGTTTTCTTTAGTTGTTCATTTCTATGACATTAATCAATTAAAAGTGTCATGTAATATTCACTTAATCTATGTAAATTATTTTTAGGTACACATAATCTCTTGATTATAGCTTTAATAATATTCCAGCAAAAAACAAAAGTATTAAACAATTCTAAATAAATCATCTCAGTTTAATTATTTGAACTTTTTATGTGTAAATAGTTCATAAAATTTGCACTCTCTCAATAGTAAGGCTGGTTTGTATTATAAATATGACCAAGAGAAAATAGACCTAAAGTTTTATGAAAAGATCATCTTACTTATATTAACATTTAAAATGTAAATGGCTCAATCAGTAGATAACAAAACAATAAGCTTTTCACTTTTCATCTTATTAATGGTTTCACAGTCATAGCTCAAAGACATTTTTCCTTGGAAAATGATGCTGGTTCCCTAGAAACCCCTCATACTATTTACCAAATAACAGTCAGGCATTTGTAATGGCAGATTATTAGCAGGAACATTAGGGATAAAGTGTACAAGGGAATGAGTTTTGCGTATACAAAGCACTCTATAATTCCAGAGGAGGAACAGTTTAACGATGTACTTGTCCATATTCAGTTACTTGCAACTTCTTCAAAATGTTGTCCAGTGGCTCCATGTTAAGGCCAACGCAACTCAGCTTTACACATCAGAAAACATAAGCACACTTTCCAATATGTCAACACAAAAGAAAACTATATCCAACTGTAAGTGAAAAAAACCATTTTCTCATCAAAAGCCTACTCTAAAATTCCAAAAATTCATCATGAAATTACACTCCTGCCAAGGTCTTTTTTTCCCCCTCATCAAAAATTTAATTGAAACAACATCTCTCAGGGGGAAGCAATGCTTATGAAGTCTTGATTAAAGGAATTATAGAGAACTGTCCCTTGGTTTGGCTCTCTGGAGATTTGACTTTTCTAGGAAACAGGCTTCAGTAGATGAAGGAAGAAAATGATGTCTCCCTTGTGCGGTGAGAAGACTGGTAATACTAACATGGAATAAAGGAATGCCAGCTAACCGCAAACGCCATATTAGGCATGGAAAAGACGTGGAGGCTGATTCCTTTGTGCTGCCTGTGCCCTCCTTCAAAGTCTGAACACTCCTCGGTCATACCTACCCCAGCCTCAATTCCATTCCTCTAAGGGATATAAGAATAGAGTTGTTAACTTGAGCTATGCTGAGATAAAGCTCTTTTCCAGAGCCAGTGCCCTGAGTACTAACTTTGAAACTTGCCGAGACAGTGTCATGTTACATTTTGAAAGTTATTTCTTGACATCTCGGCTTGCCAAATTGCATAACCATGTGTCATCTGAGGTACAGCAGCCTATAGATCTACTGATTTTTTTTTCTGGACATAGGTATAGTTTTAACTAAGGATTACTTTAAAATGAGGTGGAGAGATGGCTCAGTGTTTAAGAGCACTGGCTGCTCTTCCAGAGGTCTTGAGTTCAATTCCCAGCACCCACATGACAGATCACAACTGTATGTAACTCCAGTTTCAGGGGATCTGGTACCCTTACACAGACATACATGTAGGCAAAACACCAATGCACATGAAATAAAAATTAAATTAAAAGAAAGAAAAATTACTTTAAGGAATGCTAGAATTAATTATTCTGTTATGTAAGAGCAAAATTGAGTGCATAAATAGCTATTAAAAAGGCACTAGAGGTTGAAGAGAGGAAACAGGACTGGAGCCTACCATAGATGTCCTATGAAAAACTCCACCCATCCCCGAAGCAGATGCTGTGACTCACAGCCAAACATTGGGCAGAGTGCAGGGAGTCCTATGGAAGAGTAGGGGGATAAAAGGACCCAGAGGGGACAGAAGCTCCACAAGAAGACCCATAAAGCCAACAAATCTGGGCTGGGGGAGGGGCTGTGGAGACATATGCACCAAGAACCACACCCATGCGTGGGTATAGCAGGGGTATAGCAGGACCTAGGCCCCTGCTCAGATGTAGCAGATAGGCAGCTCAGTCTCCATGTGGGTCCCTGAGTAAGGGGAGTAGGGACTGTTGCTGACATGGACTCTGTTGTCTGTTCCTTGATCACTTCCTCCTGGCAGGGTAGCCTGGCCAGGCCACAGAGGAAGAGGATGCAGGTGGTCCTAATGAGATGAGTAAGGAGAGGAGCCCCCCCCCACTTTCTGAGGACTAGGGAAGGGGGATGGGGGAGGAGGGAGGGAGAGAAGGTGGGACCAGGAGGAGACAACAGAGGGGCCTATGATCAGGATGTAATGTGAATCAATTTTTAAAAGTTAAATTTAAAAGAAAGAAAAAAAAGAAAATTTAGAGTTAACAAAAAAAGCACTAGGGAAAGAAAGATGTAGTTTAATTTAAATGTTGCATGAGTGAAAATGGTCTATCATGCCACTGAAAATGAACTCTTGAATTATTTTCAAATGTATTACCTCACTTAACTTACAGCAGTGAATAAGATACTTGCTAGTAGAATATCCTAAAATGTTTGACTCAGCTGTAGTATCTAAGTTGGCTCCTAGAGGCCACAGCCATGGTATTATTATGCTTCCTGCCATACAATTAATGTGTCAATCAGAAATTGAAACTTATAAATAAAATTTTGAAAGAAGGCAGGATCTGGAATGTAGCATGGCTTGTAGTGTTTGTTTAGCCTGCATGAAGCCCTTGGTTTAAGCCCCAGTGCCTCATAAAAAGCAAGGATGGTCGCACACACCCATAATCCCAATACTTGGGAGGTGGAGATATGAGGACCAGGAGTTCCAGGTCATCCTCATCTACACAGCAACTTTGAGGCTAGCCTTGACTACATGAGACCCAGTCTCACAAAAGAAAAGAAGAGGAGAAGGAGGAAGAAGAGGAGGAGGAGGGGAAGGAAGGGATGGGAAGATGAAGGAAACCTTCCAGAAAGGATATGTTTGTTGTTCAGCTTCTGCAGATGGGAGCTGACCTTCTCCTGGAATGCCAGTGTGGCTTCACAGCCACAAGCATCTTCTATGGAAATGAGGCTTCGTGCTTCTTCGATGCCTGAAGACAAGACAAGGTGTTATAGCTGCAAGGGATCACAACAAAGTAGAGGCTGGGGTGTAGAACCCCCGCCTAGCACGAGAGGCAAAACAAAGGAATGGAAGCAAATCAGGAAATCTACAGTTCAACATTGCCACTCATGTAAAGGCACTTTTTCAGGAGGCAAAATCACATAAAGCAAACAGAAAACAGAAAATGCTTATTAATGTTAATTTCACGGAAAGCTTTATTAGGAAACATTGGGGAAATGTTTATGTTTGTCAAAACTGGGTGATGGTTATTTGAGAGTTCATTGTATTCTTCTCCACGCTTTTGTCATTGCCAGTAATCAGCCATGATATAATGCATTTTAAAGGTGGTTGGTATAGGACAGTGATTTTCAAGCTGTGGACTGTAACCCATTTGAGGCCCATATCAGATATTTACATCACAATTCATAACAGTAGCAAAGTCACAGTTATGAAATGGCAATAAAAATAATTTATGGTTGGGGGTCACTACAACATGAGGAACTGTATTAAAGGGTCACAGCATTAAGAAGGCCAAGAACCACTGGCGTAGGGAGAAGCCACAAACATAGGAAGAAGAGTCTTCCTATGCTACTGGTTCCTCATTAAGGAACGAACATCAGAACAGTTATCTGTTTGTACAGCCAAAATATTTCAAAGATTAAATGTAGGTAATTCCTGGTTTCCTACAGAGGATTGCTATTTTATTGAATGATTTGAATTGAGAAGTATAGTTTTTACCCTTACATACTTTGAAGGTAAAAATTCAGAGCTATTGATAGCCAATCTAGATAACACACTCTGTGTGTGCGTGTGTGTGTGTGTGTGTGTATGTGTGTGTGTGTGTGTGTGTGTGTGTGTGTGCCTGTGCCTGTGTGTGTGTAGGCCAGGGGTCAGGTGTCTTCTTCTATCACTTATAAAGAGACAAATTCTCTGACTGAACCAGGAGCTCACTGACTGACCAGCAAGCTCACAGAATTCTGTCTCCACCTCCCAGGACTGGGGTTACAGGCATGTTCCTCCACATGTGCCTCTTGGGGAACTGGGGATCCGAACCCACATCCTCACTTTTCCTCCAGCCATCTCCCTAGCCCCTGTTTAGTTTCTGAAGCAGAGCCTCAGACTGCTGAAGCGGGCCTTGAACTACTGATCCTTCTGCCCACAGTAGGCCAGAAAGTACCCACCAGACATCAGCCACATGCCAATGACCATGTCTACACAGAGTATAAGAAGGGTAACTAGTCCAGTGCTCTTGCTTAATAGACACTAAGATCTGTGAAGCCATGTGCTGAACGGGATTTTCTTACTAAAACACCCCTTAGAAAATTACAGAGCAGGGGTATAGCAAAAGTGAAAGTTGAGAGAGAAAGATCCATTCACAATAATGTAAAAAAGAATAAAATACTTAGGAATACTCTTTTTTTTTTCCAGAGCTGAGGACCGAACCCAGGGCCTCACGTTATGCTAGGCAAGTGCTCTACCACTGAGCTAAATCCCCAACCCCAGGAATACTCTTAAGTGTATGACTTGTACACGAAAAAATATAAAACGTTGTTGAAAGAAATTAAAGAAGACTCAAACAAGTGGAGAGGCAATGGTACTGAAATTCCCTGGCAGGTTGTTAAAGTGGCAGCACTCCTTAAATTGATCTAAGGATGCCTGTCTCAGTCTCCGTTGCCATTCTGTGGGAAACTGACGAGTCCCAAGGGGGTGGGAAACATCAGTCACTGTGCTATGAGTGCAGAGCTTGAGACAGGGAGAGTAAAAACATTCTGGAGATGAACTATGGTAACCGTAGCCACAGAACCATACACTTGAAAATGGCTAGAATAATCGATTTGATGTTATGCATATTTTAACATAAGAGCAAAGAAATAGACTTAAAAAACTAATGAGAAAGAAAAATAAAAACAAAAGAAGAGCATGGGATGGAATTACAGAAAGCAGATCATGTAGCAGAGGGGGACAGTAACTGAAGATGAGAGAAATATTTTTTAAAAAGCAGCTTCTACCTAGATTTTGCCACTGAACAAAATCTACTGAAAGGGTCAGTGTTCACCTGAACATGTCTTTTTATCATCATTCAAGGTGTAGCCAGGGAAGCATTTACAGTAGTAGGATGCTGCTCCATCACTCACACAGATGTGTTGGCAGCCGTGAGTGCCCAGAGCACACTTGTTTTGGGCTGCCCCGAACCATGCAGGAAAAAAAAAATACCGATTAGTTAAGTAGAACATGAAACACTGTGAATGAAGCCTTCAGTGGTCACCCAGAGCTCCATGCTCCAAGGAAAAGTATGGTTTCCTTCCCTGTGTCGCACATCCTTGGCCTGACATGTTACCTGGCTGGTCCTTCCTTCCCTTTTCACTCCTGCAGCTATCTGAGGAGCCTTCTTTTCTCTGCGTCCCACCGTACTGCGTGGCACTGAGTCTTGGTGGTAGTACAGAGCTTAGTTTAGGCATTCTGAAATGATCAATGCTGTTTGTAGATCATCACCAAAAATAATCAATTAGGAAGCCTGTGGTGGTGGATCTTGACAGTCAGCTTGACAGAATCTAGATAATCAGTGGGGTCATGTCTGTGAGGGAGATTCTAGATTGGGTTAGCTGAGATAGGAAAAGTCGCTTTAAAAGGGATGACAGCATCCCATAGGAAAAGCTGCTTTAAATGTGGGTGACGCTGCCGTTCCGTTCTCTGCTGGGTCCAGAAGTGAATGAAAGAAGGCTCGCTGAGCACCAGCATTCATCTCTGTCTGCTTCCTGACGGTTGTATCCAATAGGACCAGCCACCACAAGCTCCTGCTGCTCTGACTTCCTGGCTATTATGGGCTGTGCCCTCAAACTGTGAACAGAATAAACCCTTCCTTCCCTCCTTCCTTAAGTTGCTTTGCTTAGGTACCTTGTCACAGTGGTGAGGCAAATCACTAATACAGACATCACTGTATGTGGAGTTAAGTTTGGTGCTATTTAAAAAAAAAAAAAGAAAAAAAAAAGATTGTCTAAACACCAACCACTGATTCCTAATGATGTGGACAGGAAACACTGATGATCTGCCCACTTGTATTCATTCTGTATCTGTGTGTGTGTGAAAGAAAATGATAACAATGAGACTAATGACAGGATATCTGATTAAATAGTGGAGTGCTCTTATTTATCACATAAATAGCATCTCAGAGATTACGATCATTTGCCCCGAGTTCAGGGGAGAACAGAGTAGAACAGCACACCAGTCCTGTATCCAAATGGCCTAGGACAAGTGAAAAGAGCTTAGTGAGCTCAGAAAGGCTCCCAGGAGACACAGATTCTTTGTTGTACAAGGGCCAAAGTGCTGTACTTGTTCATAGTCTTTTACTGACCAAAGTCCCGCTGCCTCAGTGTCTGTAGTGACTGAGTTAGAGGCATAATTTCATGTCCTAAAGAAGGGAAGAGCCAGGCATGGCCATACACGCCTGCAACCCCAGCACTTGGGGTTCCTGCATACTGAGGCTAACAGGGCTACACAGTGAGTTCCAGGCCAGCCGGGGCTGCAAGAGACTTTGTCTCGAAAAATAGATGAATAAATCAATCCAATAATGTGTCGTTTCCCTTCATTTATCTTGACAAGATCACACCATGTCTGGTTCCCAGAGGAAGAAGAGAAGACGGATAAAAATCTGAAAAGGGCTGAGATGCCAAGCTAAGCGTCACCTCGAGAGCCAGGAGTGCCTCTCCAAAGGGAGAACTTTCATTTATATAAATGCTGCCCTGTTCTACCAGTAAGTTTAAATCAAATTAATGAGGATTAATGGTCCTGGCAGGGGTTCATTAGCCGAGTCACAAGGCCCTGAGTCACTGAAGATTGATCAGCTAGAAACGGTCGAGAATGTGCCACTTCCAGGACCCTGGAAGGTCTGTGTGGGGCCAAGTCAAGCCTTCACAAAGCCTCCTTTGCTGAGAGAATCCAGCTCAAAGGTCAACAGTGCAGTTTTAACTGGAGAAAGATCAGTTCAACCTATCACAACAAATAGTTACTATACAGCTTACTTCCTCTATGTGCTTAAATGCAGCCCTGTGTACACCGCTATGAGTGGTTTCCTGAACAGGGACCCCATATATCATTAGCTTTTCTCATGTCCCCCAATCCCTACCTATTTCCCAGTAATTTTCTGACATGATCTATGTTTATAAAAGTGAGCTCACCAACCCCCCGGCAACATCTGCCTGAACATGTAAGTTGGTCCGATGTCTGAGCCTGAGTCTTTAATCCTCCCCACCCCACTACCACCCAACACCACACACACACACACACACACACACACACACACACACACACACACACACACCAGCCACCGCCAAGAACCTCTCTCCTGGTGAGTTTCAGGTTGATTCCCTCACCATGGGAAGAGTCAACTAGGAAAGGCTTTGTTGAATGGACTTTACCTGAACATGTTTTCTTATCTGCATTCAGGGTATAGCCCTCAAAGCATTCACAGTGAAGGGACCCAGCTCTGTCGTCCACGCAGATGTGCTGGCAACCGTGTGTACCCGAAGCACATTTTTCCAGAACTGCCAGATGAAAGTCCAAGAGTGAAATTTTAAAGTTAAATTTCAAAAAGTCCTTTATTACCCACAGATAGAAACATGCTTAAAAACAGCTAGAAATATATCGGGGGGAAACTGGCTGGAGGCTAGGCAAAGCTGTCAGCATTATTTGCTCTAACTAGAAGTTAGCAGACTTAATAAAATTCTTCACACACGATAATTATTCTCCACCATTATACTCAGTTCTTCTTTCAATATTGTCAGTGTTGAGCTTTTTATAACCTAAGCATCTCATAAATACTTAATACATTCCTTTTCAGTTTATTGTACTTATTCCAACCCAGAAATAAATGAGCTAATTATGCAGCTAATTACACTAGATCCCAGGAAAAGGGGGAATTGGAGTTTGGAGAATTTCTATTTTAACACTCTTTCATTTCATAAATAAGGTACAAGAGCTCCAAGGAGACTAATTTAGGGAGAAATGAGACCCCAACACCCAACTCTTTATTTAATGATTTCCCTGTAAAAACAGATGAAGAGATGATAGCTAGGTAGGTAGATAAAGAGATTACAAACAGACAGACAGGCAGACAGGCAGATATACAGGAGAGATACACATTTAGGGTGTTTTTGAGACAGGGTTTTACTATGTAGCCAAGGCTGGCATGAAATCTTCAGCCTTGAATGCTGACATTGCAGGCGTGTATCACCACACCCAGAAAGGAGGGAAGAGACTGATATTGACATATTTTAATCTTGGTGAGGGAGAACTGAGACAGCATTTCCTCTATAGCTGAGAATGAGCACTGGCCCTCCCGCTTGTCTCCCTCGTGCTGGAATTATAGCCATGAGCCACCACACCCAGCTTTAATCTTTTTTTTTTTTTTTTTTTACTTTTAAACTTTCAGTTTTCAGGTGAGCAAAGACTTTTAAAAAACCTACTTCATCTAATGCCAAATGCTGACAATTTAGATGTCTAACATGATGAACAAAAACATCAACACGGCATGATTTCTTAATCTACATTCAACAGTCAGCTGTTCCACACTATTCTTCTAGTGTCCATTTTCTTGTCTAGGACTCAACCCAAAATCCCACATGACATGAAGTTGACATATTCTGAGCCATTTCATCAGTCTACCTTTGTTTTTACTACTTTGACACATTTGAGAAGTATTTGGAAAATATCGTGAACTAAGACTCTCTCTTCCTTTGGGTCTGTCTGATGTTTCCTCGTGGTCTAAATTTTTAGCAAGGCTATACCAGATGAGCTGCCACATCAGTGATACTGTCAATAAGATCATCTCTAGTGATGTAAACGTGATCTCTCATCATCCAGTTCAGGTATCTTCCAGGTTCCCTACTATAGAGTTACTGTTTGATGTTCTGTGTGTGTGTATCTGCGTCTCTGTGTGTATTTGTGTCTGTGTATATGTCTGCATCTGCTTAGGTTTCTGAGTCAGAGTTTCATATGCCTAGGCTGGCCTTGACATATGTAGCTGGGATAACTTTGAGTTTATGATCCTCCTGCCTCCACATGCCATCAGTGTTTTCCTTTGTAAGCAGTAGGTATTTTGTAGTGTGTTATTTGATGTTACGTTGTCTAGTATTTGGAATACAGGAAACAGACCGAATAGACAGAAATGAGCCATACATTTACACACACAGTATGTGCACATCTCATTTCTGATTTTTCATACATAACTTAGTAATAGAAAAATCCAGATGAACAGAGGTGGTGTACGCTTTTAATCCCAGCACTTGGGAGGCAGAGGCAGGCAGATCTCTGAGTTCAAGGACAGCCTGGTCTACACAGAGAGTTCAGGACAATCAGAGCTACATAGAGAAACCCTTTCTCAAAAAACAAACAAGGAAACAAACAAAAAAAAATAGAAAGAAAGGAAAAAGAAAAGAAAAGAAACAACAACAACAACAAAAAAAAAAAAATCCCAGGGTAGCAAAGCGGAAAACTGAACAAGCTCCCAGTTGACGGCTTCCCTTCAACACTGGGTAGGATGTGTACCGAATGTATACACAGCCCACTCACCTGCACAGGTTTTCTTGTCGGCATTCAAGGTATAACCTTCATAGCACTCGCAGTGGTAAGAGCCATTTCTGTCACTGACACAGATCTGTTCACATCCGTCAGTGTGGAGGGCACACTTATCATTAGCTGTCAGAAGATGAACATGGCAAATGTGAACACATACACACACACACACACACACACACACACACACACACTCGTACACACAAACACCCAGAGAACTAAGAGGGGGTAGATGGAGGAAACGGCACTGATGTAACCTGAATCCCACTTCCTGGTCTTGTTCTTTCACTAACTGATGCATATGTCTCTTCCCTTCTTCAAAACTCAGTTTCTTTATCCATAAAACTAACAGTTTGAACTAACGGATCTCTTTTCTTCCTCACAAAAACTCTCCATGTATTAAAGAGAAAAAAATGTAAAAGGGGAAAAAAAGATCTAGTTTCTGTTCTTCATTGACTCCGTGTGGTGTTTAAATACCAGTGAGCGGGGCCCTGAGTGTTTCCCTCTACATCTAGTGTCCATGAGTGTGTATGGTCATAGAGAAGAATTGGGACTCTCATATCTAATGAAATAAAACCCAGGAAAAATACCAAATATTCAAAAGGATCAAGAGTTTTGGGTTGGGCTGAAGAGATGGCTTAGAGGTTAAGAGCACTGGCTGCTTTTCCAGAGGTCCTGAGTTCAATTCCCAGCAACCACAAGGTGGCTCACAACCATCTGTACTGCAAGATCTGGTGCCCTCTTCTGGCATACAGGTGTACATGCAGACAAAACATTGTATAAATAATAAGTAAAATCTTTTTTAAAAAAACTAATTAAAAAAATAAAAGGGTTTTGGATCCCAGGGCTGGGGAGTTGGTTCACTGGTTAACAACACTGGCTGCACTTGGAATGGACCCAAGTTTGATTCTCAGCATCCACAAGGCGGCTCACAACTGTCTAATACCAGGGGGATCCAGTGCCCTCTTCTGGCCTCTGAATGCACTGCAGGAACGTGTGTGTGTGTGTGTGTGTGTGTGTGTGTGTGTGTGTGTGTGTGTG